AAAAAAAAAAAAAAAAAAAAATTACGAATTTTAAGATGGTGATAGCAGAGCACTAAACCCAGGGTGGGGCCCGTGTGACTGCACATTTTACCCACTCATGAAGCCAGCACTGGGTGCATCCAACTTCAGGACTCCCCGGCAAAAATCAGTTCAGGAACCCTTTGTCAAAATAAAATTCAAAGATAAATATGAGCACAGAGAGACATTTTTACTTGCAGTTCAAGAAAACCAGACCTTTAGAGAGTGGCTCGCTAAATAGAATGAGAGGAATTTATAGCTCAGATGAAATTGCAGGTATTTATAGCTCAGATACGGCAGTTCATTCCGATTGGATAAGAACAAGATGTTCCTGTTTTTTTGGTAAGGAAAACAGGATGTTCTTGTTTTTGTGGCTTATCTCTGGAGGCAAAGCTTTCAGGATTTCCCGTTAGTCAAGGCTTTTAGGAGGTTCCCGCTATTCATGGTTTATCTTTGAATGCAAGGTTATTGGGAATGAAAGTCTTTTTTAAGTGATTTGTAGGCAGGGCTAGGCTAAGGGCAAGCTATTTTTCCCTCTCTCCTCTCTGTTTGCTGTGCCCACTTTAATATAGTTTCCTCTAGCTCAGAATCTCCTCCACTTCCTACCATAGCTACCATACAAAGTAAAAGTTATCATAGATTGTTGCTCTGGGTTGGTTTTATGAAAATAATTAACAAAATTACTTTTCTTAAATCATGCTGTTAATTCATAATGTAACATATGAGCTGTATGTAGACCCATGTTTTAAAATATAATAAATATATATAAAACAAGTATATCTTATTTATATGAATGTGTGGCTTTCGCAGGAACAGAACGGAGCTAAGCCAGGTGAGCCCCTACTTTATTATCCTATCATGTGTAGATTATTTTCAAACAGGATTGCTCTTAACTCTCAACGTGTTCTTTGAGAAAATAACACGTGCTCTTTTTATTTAGTTTCTTTTCATAGCTTGTTTTATAATATCACACTCCAAATTGGAAATAACAGTGCCCATACTCATGGATTGTTATACATTGTTAAAATTTCCCATTGGCTAGAAACACTTGCTTTAATTTGTTTCTAGGTTATAGACCTGTGACTTTCAAATTCTCAGGAGTCTGAGGCCTACAATGCATGACTCAGGATCCAAGCAGGTTAAGAGTTGGGCAAGTTCAAACAGGAGAAGCAAGGAGAAGTTAATAAAGGAGCTGTTCGCAAAGATGTGGACAGAGTTCGGGCAGAGCAAGGGTAAGGGCAGTTCAACACTGTAGCGCTACAATAGCAGGAAGCCCTTACCTCTTCTAGTCCTGGAGGGCAAAACCAAAACCTTGCGAGAGTGACCACAGGTAAAGCCACCTGAAAGGAACTGTGGCCTTTGAATTTGTAACTGCCCAAGGGGTTCACCTTGCCCCCTGCCTAGAAAGAACTGATTCATCAACACAGGGGAATTGCAATAGAGAAAGAGTAATTCACACAGGGCCAGCCGTGTGGGAGACAGTTTTATTATCACTCACACCAGTCTCCCCAACCATTTGGGGAGCAGAGATTTTTTTGTTTGTGTTTTTTTTCAGTCTTGCTCTGTCACCCAGGCTGGAGTGCAGTTATGCTATCTTGGCTCACTGCAACCTCTGCCCCCTGGGTTCAAGTGATTCTCCTGCCTCAGCCTCCCAAGCAGCTGAGATTACAGGCATGTGCCACCATGCCTGGCTAATTTTGTATTTTTAATAGAGACAGGGTTTCACTATGTTGGTCAGGCTGGTCTTAAACTCCTGACCTCGGGTGATCCACGTCAGCCTCCCAAAGTGCTGGGATTATAGGCGTGAGCCACTGCACCCGGCCAGGAGCAGAATTTTTAAGGACAAATTAGTGGGTTAGGGGAAGCCAGTGACCCGGGAGTGCTGATTGGTCAGGTCAGAAATGAAATCATAGGGAGTTGAAGCTGTCTTCTTGTGCTGAGTCAGCTTCCTGGGTGGAAGCCACAAGATCATATTAGCCAGTTAATCGATCTGAGTGCCAGCTGATCTGGCAAGTGCAGGGTCTGCAAAATATCTCGAGCACTGAGATATCTGAAGAAAATCTTGAAGCCTCCAGTTGCATGACTCTTAAACCATAATTTCTAATCTTCTAGCTAATGTTAGTCCTACAAAGAGAATCTAGTTCCCAGGCAAGAAGGAGGTCTGCCTTGGGAAAGGGCTGTTATCATCTTTGTTTTAAACTGTAAGTTTCTCCCAAAGTTAGTTCAGCCTATGCCCAGGAATGAACAAGGAGGTTAGAAGCAAGATGGAGTCGGTTAAGTTAAATCTCTTTCACTGTCTCAGTGATAATTTTGCAAAGGCGGTTTCAGTTTGATAAGGCAACCTAGCCAGCCTGTGGTGATCCAGCCAGGGAGGGGCTACAGGAATACTCTTCAAGCTCCATTCTTCATCCCCTTTTTGATGTCTTGCTGTTGGCTGTCATTGCTTCAGCCAACCAGAAGTTAGAGCTCAAGCATCCCCGTTTA